GCGCGACATGGATGTGGCAGTGACTGCGAGAGTTTGCGCGAGATAAACATGTTTTTACGTTGATATAGATTTTGTATATTATTTTTAATAAATTTAGTACAAGCACATCGAGAATATCATTAGTGACATTAATAATATTACATTTAAAAAAAAGACTAGTTTTAATCAAGTCAGTAGATGATACTTGCTAATTTTGGTAAAATAATATTTCAATCAATATCAAATGTCTGGTTAGTGTATAATTAAAATCAATTAAATGCTAATTTTACTGCTCTAGATATTATCTTACTATTATTATATTTGATAATATTTACTAATTGCATCAAATAATTAGTTACTATTATTATTACTTGATTACTATGTACTCTCTCTCTTGTTATGTTTGGTATTATTTATTATTGCACCAATATGCTAAATAAAATATATTTGGCAGCTGTTACTAGACTTCTTTTCAATATATGTATTAAAAAAATATTCTGAGTGTATCAATAAGGTATAAACAAATGCATTTTAAGCATTAATGAGATATTAATTAGAATTCTAATTATCTTAATTTCTGATTATCTCGATATTCTCGACTAGAATGTTTGATAGATTTAAGTATTATATATGTCTGATTTGTATCCCTTAATGATTTGAATCTCTACTAGAATTCCAATTAATGCAATCAAATTTTTTCAATATGTTTAACTATGATGAACATGATTTTAATGACTTGCTAAATGATTGAAAAATTAGGAAATTTGCATGACATAAGAGCTGATAAAGCGAAGTTTTACAAACGCGGCAAAGCTGCGTCATGTCGAAAATGCCCAGTGCATATTGTGTTCTAATGGAGTATTGCCGACCCCGATGTAATACACGCGGAAGCAAATAAATTGGGGATGCCCTCGAGTTTACGACGAGGGTCGAAAAGCCGGGAGGGTACGAGCTTGTTTCATTTCGACGACACGAGATTCGCTCGATTACCAGGCCGCGGATAAATTACGAGTTTAACGCGACAGAAGCCATGTGCGAAGCTATGTGGACTGGAAACGATTCTATAAATCGAAATTCAAACTGCAAATCCTTCATCACCGAAGGATTAACGTACGAAGCAATTTCGTGTAAAAATATTTTCCAGTTTTTTTTATAGGTGAAATAAAGTTTTCATACATAATTATTTCGATATAACATTTAAATCTATTTTATTTTTCGCAGAATTAAAATGTAGGATGGTTTTCAAGTATTTTAAATAATTTTAAAGAGTATTTCTTCACATTGATTCAAAACAAAAATTTTATATGGCCTGATATTCAAAACGACTTACAAGGGAAGAGTTTAGCAAGTCTAAAATAAAAAAATCTTGCATAAATACCGAGTAAATGGATCTAATCACGAAACAGTTTTTTGTAACTGATATTCGATTTTATGGGTGGAAACATTCTCTTGAAGAAAATCGATGCTTACGTTTTTAAGGGAATATTGCTGAAACAACGAGAAAAAAATGTTTTAAATAAAAGTTATGTAATTTTGAAAGTACTTTTATAACTACGTGATTAGATTTTTCATATATGTTAAACTTTTCATATTTTTTAAAGCCGTATATCAGAAGTTATAAAGAATTACTTTGTAATTAGGTCCATTTACTCTACACTTATGCAAAGTTTCAGCTTTTTTAAATTTTATAATTGCTGGATTATAAGTTTTAAAGATACAAGAGGTTAAAGTTGAAGGAAAAATTTCGTTTTTTTAAAAATTCTGAAAACCAACTTGGATTATTTTGATGAAACTTTTATGTCCTTGAAACATATCAAAGTTTCATCAAAATAACTCGAGTTGGTTTTCGAAATTTCTGGGAGAAACAAAATTTGTCCTTCAACTTTGTCACCCTGTATCTGTAAAACTAAACCCTTTCAGACATATGACGTTCTCATGAATTAATATGAGGAATTATTCCTTAAAGTCTCCTAAGATACTTAAGCATCACCTTGTACGATAAAAAACTTTTAAATTAATTAAATGCTTTACATTAAATTGCTTATATTTTTTAAATAAATATAATATTACTTATATCATTAATTTAACATTTTTCGATTGGCAATGCTTGTATCAGAAAAAAATTAGGAAAACTCATTACTCGCACTGAAGTCTCCACGGATACTTCTACGCGTACTCTCGGGTCGCGTTCGCCAATTTAGCGAGGCTCTAAAGTTACGTGCTCGCCATACAGGCGCGCTTAAATCCATATAAATACCTAGGCTCATGAATCTATCCATTAATCAGATTGGCGATAGGGGCTCGACGCCTGAGTGATTTCCACCTCCGCCAACCCCTGGGATGTTTCTTTTTTCTTCCGCGAGCCTCTTCGTAGGAATGCCTCCAGCACGGTTGGCTCCAGAGGTCACTAGAAGGTGGCAGCACTTCCATTAAAATTCGACACGAACCTTTTGCAAGAATCCGATGTGTGCTGTACTACATACACATATGGACAATGGATTATGTATACATATATATATACACACACACATATATGAGTGTATATCATATATATGTGTATCTGTATATATATATATATATATACACGCGCTTAGGTGCCAGTCGTACTGGAACATACGACCCCCGGTGGCACGAGCAAGTGCAGAGATTCATGTGTAGGTGCGAAGTCTGGAAGGACTTGGCCTGCGTTTCGTGGATTGTGAGAGGAATATCGTTTAGTCGCCATCCTGTTCACCCCCTTAGAGCGAAGACTTGAGGGGACGTGAGCGCGAGTGCCAGAGCCAATTTCGATTGTCCGTTGTGGCTCCTGCCGCTCACAATGACGTTCCCAACGTTCCCTAACGAATCTTCGTAATTGCGCAGATTTACTTCCCCGTTCTCTGCTACTTCTCAACCAGTAACCCCAACTTTTTTTAACATTTATTCTGTTAAGGTTTTCTCGACGATAAACAACAGAAACGACTTACCTATCATTTAAACTTATTCCAAAACTTTTCTAAAGTTCCAACGTCAAATCTTGGTAATCGAATTTCAAGTTAAATTTCGTTAAAGTGAAATTGGATTAAAACAATAATAAATTAATGTAGACTGCTGTATGAATAATAAGGAAACAGCCAATATATATTTGAGACTAAATCTTGGTGCTTATATAGTTTATAATATTTTGTATTATATAAGTTCTTTTCTCTCTATACATCTTTTAGTTACATAAACTGCGCACCGTTTACTGTCAGCCTTGAAACGTAATGATCACTGAAGCAGAAATAATAATATCACAATTAAATTGAGTGTCGATTTGATAATAATGCTATTACTTAACATCATAAAATATTGTAAAACAACTTGTTGCAAAGAATGTTATTCCAGGATTCAAATCGGGAATCTATTAATAAAAAAATTGTACGTGTTATATTAGTTTATTTTTTATTTACAAGACAGAAATAGAGACATTGGCTATTCTATGACTTGTTCTCCAATTGTTTTTCAACTGTTCTGTAAGTTTAAAGTAGTTTAAACTGTCCTCGCTATAAAATACCGAATCGATCGTTTTAGTGCACTTCCATGCATTTACGGTTGGGTTTGAAATAATAAATAATCTCACGACTTTCTTGGAAACACGTGTGCATCGCCATTTGGTCGGTCTAAAAAAATCACACGGTTTTCTTTAATGTCGTCAATGGCGAAAGCAGAGAGAATGAAATTTATCTCTGGCGAATTATTCGCGTAACCGCGAAAGAGACTACATCAAGCAAGTTTACGATTTTCGCGAGCCTGCATGCTAACGATGCTCTTCATATGGTTTGTCATGAACCTTATCTATAGAACTGTGCAAAGTTTACACTGTAAAGTAACTTAGCCATAGCTGACATTACACGTTTCAACGTTCACCTACGTAATTTGATCCTCTTGTTTAATGCGTTGCAACTTTAAACTTCTGTGAATTAATCTTACTAAGCTTGATGTTAATCGAAATGTATGAGATAAAAATCTGCAATCTTATTCTGACTAAATTGTAGATTTGAATTAATAATAAATTTACTGATTCCGTTTCATGTTTATTGATCCTATTTATCGTATGAATAATTTTCATCTTTCAACACGTTCCAGTTTGAGCCATGTAAGTCGTTACTTTGCCATTTCCTCCTCCAAATCTAGGCGTATCGCGTTCAAGGTTACGCCCCGCATGCAAATTTGCGATTACTTCGCGCAACTCTCGTCCATCTCTCTCGCGAAACTGCCACAAATTTATCGGCTTCGACGGCAGGGAGGCGCGAGACGTACGGGCGTCGATTTGTCGACGGCGAGAATTATTTGGAATAGCGTGGACTGAATCCGCGGAGAGCCGAAAGATTATCTCGCGAGGACGACCGGTGCAGAATGCGGAACGACATTCGATTTCTGCAACGACAAACGGGGTGGGTGATCCCCGAATGCAATTTTTTTCCACCGTATGTGTTACGCTTCGACATTAATTTGTATCCTCGGTAATCCTTAATTTACAACTTCAATGAGTTTTACGGAAGTAGATAGCCTGCCAGCTGGATAGGTAGCTGCTAGGTAACGAACCATTGGTATAGTTTCGCATAGAAATTGGCACGGTGGTGCATCCACACTACTAAGCGTAAAAGTGGTAAATAGACGTAGGTACATGAGAGAAAGAGAGAGAGAGAGAAAGAGAGATGGGAGATGAGGGGATGGACGGCGGTGCAAGAAGATGGAGGAGGGTGGATGCATGAGGGGTTGGCGAGGGTGAGATTCGACAGACACTGTAGGACAGGGACAGGGCTGGGGGCAGGGTTAAGGGCTGTGGCTGGGGCCGGATAGTCGGACCTGTCCAAGAGAGAAAGAGAGAGAATGATCGCCCTTAGCGGGCGTAGTGGTGACTGGTGGATGCCGGTGGGGCTGGTAGGGGCTGGAGGACTCCGGGACAGTACGTGGAGGGGACTCGCACGGAGAGGGATGAAGAAGAGGGTAGAGAGGAGCGAGCGGAGGGACGGAGGTCGAGAGTCGATCCCCCCGCCGCTCGGGAGCAGACACGCGGGGCCAAAAGACTAATTTGAACTATTTTATTAACAAAAACAAAAACATTACATATTTGTAAATAACACTATTAACAACTATAAACACGAAACAGCAACAACAGCAACAACACATTTCTCCTAAGGACTCTCTTTAAATCTTACCGTACACCCGTAAGACAACCGCCTGTAAAAAGAAAGAAGGAAAGGAAGGAAGACACGCACGAAGTGGAAAATAAAGCGCGCGCGGTCGGATAGAGAAAGAGATAGACAGGAGGAGAGTGAAAGAGAAAGCGGGTGAGAATAGGAGAAGGAAAGAGCGGGACGTACGACGAGGTAACTCCGGTTTTTTTCTAAGATAGTAGATGTGTAATTACAAGCGCGTACACACAAGCAATACACAGTAAAGAAGAAACAAGTTACAAAAGAGTCGAACGATAGAAAAATCATCTATTTTCTCAAGTTATTCCTCAGTCAGATTGGTGCGCGGCGCAGCGGAAGTGAAGAGAACGAGACGAGAGCATAAACGCTGAGAGAGGGAGAAAGAGAGAGAGAGAGAGAGAGGGATTGCAAAAGGGAAGATCGTAAAAGAGAGCACGCGTCGGCTGCTACGGGACGGGATAATCGCATTTTTAGTTCTCTCTGTACTGTGTGACCCTTACATTATTTTGTCCCTCCGATAGGGACGGGTTCAGTGTTGTAACTTAGGATATAAGAAGACTAAAAAGAGCTCCGGAGAGCACAATAAAAAGATAGAGAGAGGAAAAGATAGAAGGAGAGAGAGAGAGAGAGAGAGAGAGAACAAAGATTTGGAATCTGAGATTTCGGAAGAGAGAAGAAGAAAGAACTCAGAAAGAAAAGAATAGTGTGTAATTTGTGACTGGAAACGCATCCACGTCGAGAAACGTTCACAAGAACAAGAAGAATCGCGAGCAGCAATCAACAAGGGACAGAAGGAAAGAACGTTCACGAAAAAGGGTTGGCTTCAAGCGTCGCGTAGAGATACAGTGGAGCTCCAATTTTTTATACTAGAAGAAGAATCTAACAAAAAAGCGTGAAAGAGAGAGCGAAAGCGAGAGCGAGAAAGCGAGAGAGAAAGAGAGGGGGTGAGAGAGAGAGAGAGAGAGAGAGAGAGAGAGAGAAAGCGAGAGAGAGAGAGAGAGAGAGAGACTTGGGAGAATCAGGGAGAGTGCGAAAGGGGAGCGGAGGATCGATCCTGTTCGTGTTTCCGCGTGCACTTCCACGTGTGTCCTTCGATACGAAACTGCAAGAACTTCAATTCCGACCGTTTAAGATCTCTCATTTAGAGGAGAGATCCAAAAGAGACGGGATAGAGCGAAGAGTGACACGTTCGTGACACCGTCGATCGATATCCGGTCTCGAATAACATAATCCGGCCCGCGTGCAAGCTCCTTTGGGGGATATGTCCTGCCGTTCCAGAGGGAGTCGTCGTCATCCGGGAGCGCAACCTTCGCAACGCCGAGGACAACGTCAATCCGAGTGCCGTCCCTGCGTCCTGGACCCCGCGGCTGGTAAACTGTCCTGACGAAAAAAGGACCACCCCCTCAGCTCGTCCCGATCGAAGCAGCGCGATCATCAACGGACAGCAGTCATATCAGATACGCGATCGTCTCCCAAGGACGCGGACCCATCACGAGAAAGGGTCCGTCCAGGGATGCCCGCCAGGGCCCAGCCACGCTCTCGTCTCGCGTACGTTCAAGGACGATGACGATCGGCCAAGACGATCGGTAAGATCCAAGCAGCGCGAGCACGCGCCAGCATCGCGGAGATGGCGGGCTACAATCATTCGAATCCACAGCGTGTCGTCTACCATGCGACCTACCCGACGCCCCTCGCCCCAAGTGAGTTTATCTGCTGTTTATGCACCCCGATGTAGAAAACCCCCACAACATTCGACACGACATTCGACAACATTTGACATGTCACGCGGCATGTGCTGTAGTCTTCCGATATCTTCGATTTATCATGGAGATTGAAATTTATTTGACATCGTTGCTGATTGCGCAGTTGGAGAGAATTTAAAATAATTTTCAATCGTTTCTTCTTTTTACAACGTAGAGGAAGCTGAATTATAATCTGTGGGTTTTTAAGACCTGATTTAAAAAAAATAATTACATATTTTTTTTTTTTTTTTAGAAAACCAGCAGTTAAAAGATATAATTTTTAGAATCAGATTTTTTTAGCTGCTAGTTTTCTTATTCGCTAGAAAACATTAGTTGGTAGTCAAAAAGCACTGTGTAAATCAGGTCTAAGCAACAAGAGAAAAACTTTCTCAAGAACTGAAGAGATTTTCTCGAGAACTGGAGAGATCTCTTGCTGTTTTTCGTTTCTTCTTTACTTGAGAATTATTAAAAGTTTCGTCTATGGTGCGCGCCTTCAAAGAATCTCCTTTTATTTCTGTAAATTATGATTTAAAAAATTGGCGTTGTGAAATTTTGAACTTTGAAGTTTATAAGTAGAACTTCAGTTTCTTCGATTATTTTAAGTCTTTAATTATAATTGAAAGTCATCAAGTTTCTATTATTTTAGCACAAAAGAATACAAAATTAAGATTCCTTTAGTTCAAAATACAATAAATATACAAAATCAAGGCAATAGGAATCTGCGCTGTACTTCGTGCGCTAACAATTGATATATATATAAATATAAAAAATGTTAGGTCGAATAATAAAATTAATAATACATTGTCATTTCTTAAAACTAAGAACGGGACGAATAAAACGTTTTATTCGTCCCGTTCTCTTAGCCTTAAGAGATGTATTATTAATTTTATTATTCGACCTAACATCTTTTATATTTATATATTTATATCAATTGTTAGCGCACGAAGTACAGCGCAGATTCCTATTGCCTTGATTTTGTATATTTTTCTATTATTTTCTATTATTTATTTCTTTGTGGTATAAAATTATGAAAAGTATATGAAATTAATATATGAGATATTTGTTTTGATAATATATAGTGATGATTTTTACGATAAAATTAGATAACATTGCGACGTTATAATGTCCCAGACAAGTAAACTTATTACTTTGCTATTACGAAATCTAGATCATGGTGACTGTATTTAACTGTCATACTTATGATTGTGAAAGTTTAGTTAATGGTGCCTAGTTTCGGTGAGTTTCACGAATCAATGAATATTGCATAGACCATAGACGATTGGCGAACGAAGTGCCATTAAATAAATATTTGATTTCCTCGGATAATTCCTAGCTAACTCGGGTAATTTTCGGCAAATGTTTCGCTAAAGATGGAACTTATTTTGAAATTGCTACAATTTATCAAATTTGCGAAAAAGGTTACAAAGAAACAAACTATTAAATAGATTTACAGTACGCAATATGACACATTTATGCGGATTTTGATTGCAGATAAAGGACTCTACACTAATTATATGAAAAATTGAGTTTTGGAGAAATAAGTTGATTAGTTTTCATATTATATAATGTAGCTTACAATATGGTGAACAAAAAATATCATAGAAAGCTCAATAATAAACAATTTTTTAACTATTTTAACAAGTTGACGTTATTTAATCATCGTTTTGATGTCAAATTGACGTTTTTAATGTCAAATTTAACAAAATGATAAATAACGTTAGCTTGTTTGTTGGAATGGTGTATCAAAAGTGCTCTGTGAGCATAAATTTTACACCTTTGATAATTGAGCTCTGTACCTATAACGACTTTTGTTCGTAACATTATAAGCTACATTACATGTGAAAATTAACTCATTTCACCGGAACCCAATTTTCCATATAATTAGTGGCAAAGTTCTTTGAACGAACCTTCGTGGAAAAAAAAATGCACTTGAACAGTGAACTTATTCCGTTAATTAAAGCGTAACAAGGTTATCATAAATTGCGCGACCATAAAAATTTCCTGATTGCAATCGTGATTTAGATTTATACGTACGTAACACAATTTCTAACGTTTCAGAAAAATTATGGTAAGCCACATTTGCCCTCGTTTCTACCATTATTTCTTGCCAGAACACGATATCTTTTTTTGTTTCATGTTTAGGTATGCGTGTGTATTTGCGAAAGAAAGTTTCTTCTTCCAAAAAGACTGTAACAAAAGTTACAAAATTGTATCAAAATGGATGAATTTCGTTATCTCCGCGGCAACTTTATGGTTACTTTGGTCGTATCGATTCAATTTTACATAATGTATTGCACAAAGTATAGAAAGTGTTTGGTTACAAAGGCATGGGGGATTCATACCATATTTCAGCATTTATATCATAAAGAACGGTGCTTCAAGAATACGCGACGCATGATATTGCCGATATATCACACGGGAGAGCACAGATGTCCCATGCGTAATATCAATAATATCGAGAGGAAATGCAAACGCTGCAAAACGGAAGCATTTTGCCAAGCAAATAGCTGTTCGCTTGATGTTTAGATGTACAGAAATATTAGCCTTGGATTCTAATAATCTGAAAACAGAGTACACATTCGAATCTCACAACATTCATAGGATGAATTATTTTTTCGATAATACGCAATAAATTTTCGATGAGTCTTTTTATAAAAAAAGATTAAAACGTCTGTACTAAATATTATGCTATGTTTTACTAAACCTTTACTAAATATTACGATCTGTATATATATTACACTTAATAAAGAATTCTTTTTTAAATATTTATGCAAAGTTCTTTCCAATATACTTGGAATAATGTTGTTCAATCACTTACACAATACTGTACGTGTTTACACGGAAAAACATGTTGTATTGACATTAGCCAACAGCAGTCTAATTCAAAATAGTCTTGTTAATTCAATGACATTATTAATGAAACAAATAACACTTTATTAAAACAAGAGCATGACGTCATTGTTTCATTAGTACTATTGAATTAATAAGTTTATTTTCAATTAAACTGCTATCGGCTAATGCTGTTAATACATTATTTCTGCCTATATATGTATATAAAAAATAATAATGGATAACATTACGGTATTATTTTAGCTTTCTAAAAGTTTTTCTTTTTTGTATTTCTCGGTCTTACTTAAAAAAATAATTGTGCAAAAACGTGCTAAAGTTCTCGATAAAAGAATCTTTAGACCGTTGATTTTTATTTTGCATTCTAACAGGAGTAGATATATAGTTCACGGCACGTTCGTAGAAAGTGCAATTTATTACAAGTGCTATTTTATGGCGAGCGTGCATAATATACATGGCTTAGATCGATGGAGTTTTTCGATCGGTTGTGTATAAACAGAGTTAATGACACATGCCACGTAACGTTAAAGCTGCCTGCACGTCGCGAGTGTGAGTGCAAGTAGTCGCTAATGCTCATGACACAATAACGATTCGCTTGTCGATCCGCTGTAAAACTGTCACGATCGATCAGCACGCACGTCGACGACATAAATTTAGGTTTTCCGTTAAATAATGTAACGGGTTACGGAACAAATCGCTTCCGAAATTGATGTTTTCTACGATTCCACATTTTCTAGCGAGAACAGCTATTAATTGAGATAATTTATCACACAGATGGCGACCCGATAAAGCTTCCCGAAAATCTGGAAACATTGCCGCGAGCTGAACACTTTCCAACTCAGAGGCATCGATGGAACACCAACGAGGTAAGTTGCCTGTCGCTTATTCGTTAGACGCAAATATTAAATTCGTGGGTCAATAGAAAACACACGTGTAACCTATTTATTCAAACATCTATCGATACTATATTTCTTAATCGCACGTCAAAAGTCGTGTTGTATAATATCAGGTTTTTTAATTGCAGTTTCATATAATGCATAAATCGATGTAAACTAGATACTGATAATTAAATGTTCATATATGAATAAAAATGTAAATATAAATTAATATTTTAATAGTCACAGGACATATAGTTTTGAAAATAGCGTTAATAATATATCTGATATTCATTTAAATATTTTATGTTACGCATAATATATAATTAAAAAAAAATACATTTTACTTTAATAATCAAAATTCGTGCTGAGAATATATTTTTCTGTTTGATATTTAAATATTTGCTCTCATATTAGATGTCTAACAATTAACAAGAGGCTCAGCAGAATACAAGTCATCGTAACATAAATAATGACGTCAAAATAACTCCAAAATGATTATTAAAAGTCACCTTTTAATTAATAACATTCATTTTAACGTCAGTTTCAAAGTCACTTTTCAATTAATAACGTTCATTTTATTAAAATTATTAAAAGTCACTTTTCAATTAATAACGCGTTCATTTTATTAAAATTATTAAAAGTCACTTTTCAATTAATAAAGATGATTAAAAGTCACTTTTCGATTAATAACGTTCATTTGAACGATTCATTTGAACATTATCAGTTTGATATTATCGTGACTTACTGTTCTGCTCTCTGCTCTAATCTATATTATAGATTCTTACCAAATAGTGTAACTCCAACATATAATATGCCAGGAATTTAACGGCGACTTGCATTTTGAAATGAAACGGGGCCAAAGTATCAAGTACCAATGTATCTTACGTATGGATGCATTTGCATTCTGGCTCTCAGAGCGCATCCCTCTTTGCGGCGCGGCGGTCGCGTGCCCGGCCGCGAATTCCGGCGCTAGCGGACCGATCTGGTATTACCGGAATTCCGATGGACCATTCCGCGCGTCGTCTCTTTTTTCCGGTGTAAATTTTATCGTGACCTCACCGGGACCAGAACGGATGTATATATTTATACAAGACTATACGCGAGAGTTAAATGGGAAGGTAAATAACGCGCGCTCGTTCATGTTGGTTCGCGGCACGGTTAAGGAGAATAGATGCAGTCAATGCAGCCGTTGCTTGTGTGCAACGTACAGGGACGACATTAAGGGCGAAACTGCTCGAATGATCCTGGTGAAAATTTTAGGGGTTGCAACTTTCAGAAGTGCTTAACTTTATGATGTATTTTAATTTTAATAATTCTTTACATTATAGAGTTTGTAACTAGAACAGTGTAAACATCAAAGCATTAATAATTTTTATTAATTGTAAGTAACTAAAAGTTGAGGGGCTTTTCTACCCTTTCGCGATTTTATAACATATTTTATAGTGTGTGTATGTGTATGCGATGTAATGATGAAGTATTTTATTCCAATTATGTCACTATTTTCATAAAAATAGCATCGAATGTTTGAGAAAAATAATTTCTACAGAAAGAATAATCTTGCTAAAGTATCTACAAATTTAGCTGCGTAGATACCGATTCGAGAATAATTTATTGAACCGTAAAGTAATTTTATCAGAAATTACTCTAAATGATTGCTGAATGTCAATATTTTTTACAGCACTATTTATCACGCTTGAACGTTATACATAATTATTTTGATAATCCGATCTGAAAATTATTTTCAGATCTGTATCTAATTAAATTTTTGGGTATTCCAGCAAAACCGTTCCTTCCGCGCATTTTTGTAATTATCATATCATTCATCCATTTTTCATTAATTTTCTTACGCCTATAATATATATTACTATACGAAATACGTGTCGGTCGCATTGATTCCGAAAAATTTTATCGGACCGCCTAAGGCTTAAAGTATTGCGAGGGCAAGGAGGGAGAATGCTGTTTCAGCATTTCGCCTGAGGAAGTGAAATTCCTGGTCACGACCCTGGCGTCGTCGGTGTGTGCAGCGGCGCGGCTCCACGCCGGTGTGTGCAGCGCGTCGGCAAGGGTGCACGTACCCACACTCGTACGCTGCACACGTAGACCGGCTTGCACCGATGCAGTCCACACCGCTATACTCTGACCCAGGTCGGTCGGCCTTCGATCAATAGCTGGAGCCAGCGAGAGCTCGCAGCCGGCGGCGCTGAGCTTTTCAGTATCGCCGAACGAAACTCAATTGCGATCCCTGTGCGCGCGGCGCGACGACTATCATTGTAAACGATAAGTCGGTCGTCCCTCTTCTTGTCCTCCCCCGCGAGTTCCCATCCACCACACGCTTGTTACTTTTCCGAATCGCTCTCCCTCCCCGATAAGTACCGGAAATTAAAAGTTCCTGAAGGAAGGAGAATCGTCGACAGCCTTTCCGCGGACTCCTCAGACTGAGGAAGAGAGAGAGAGAGAGAGAGAGAGAGAGAGGCGTGCTTCTCTTCATCTCCTCTTTTTCCTTTTTTTTTTACAAGTTGTACCGTCTCACACTTGCCCATCTGTCTCCACTGTCTCTCCTGTCATTCTATTTTTGCTTTCGAGGCGGTCGTCCACTCCTAAGCGATGAAAATTGGCTCCTTATCTCTGACGAATCTATTCAATTTCATATCGTCGCGACAGCAATTTTCGTCCTTATTCCGATTTCGACATCGGAATCTTAACGAAATTGGCTCCTGTCGTTGCGATACTTGATAAAATAGATAGATTGGAAGCATCGATTTTATAATGACGAAGGCGCGTTTGAGGTTGTTACAAGATATTTAAATGATATTCAAACGCGACGGATGCGCGGCACCACGTGCATTGCTAATGAGGCCAACGATGGCAAGACCGGCCGAATACTGTGTCACAGTGTTCGCCTTATCCGGTACCTATATTATCAAGTCCTTGGGGGTCCTTTGAACATTATCGATTGCGCGAGCCAACAAATTTGAGCTTTGTTGAAGAACGGGAATCACGCAAAGAGATTTATACCAATGTTGATACGCTCCCTGGAAATAGAACTGACAACTTCTTCTCTGCCCGACTATATTTATAATCATCGATTAAATAGTTTATGTGAAAGCATGCCAATTTCACAGACTAACACTCCCAGAGGAATAATAAAATTTCCTTTTCTTTTCACGGATACTATTCAGTGATAGCGTCTTGAAGTTTCGGAGTTATTTGAACGTTTTTATTTCGATCGCCGACCATAGTTTCGTGTATATAAGGAGAGCTTCAACGTATGTTGGAATCCAAATTTCTTTCTGTCTATCTAACTTTTCCGTTCAATTTTATAAACGGCTTTCACGTACATAAAATCCAATCTTGATTCTCTTAATTTTATTTACGTAACTCAATATCCTGTCAATGCGGACTATTGGATGTAACCAGAGATATGCAAACTATTCGAATTGAATCGAATCAAGTGAGATTCGATTTGATTAAACGCGTATTATCAAATAATCATTATTCTTTTTTTTTACATAGAAATATTTTTGTTATCTATATATTAAAATTTTACATAACAATAATTATGCTGTATTTAAAAGTTACGTTTCAATGATTCGATTCGATTTAATTCGATTTGATACGATTCGGGGTCGAAAGATCTTTTGCACATACACACACGTTTCTAGGCGTAATGCTGCTTCACTTATTCCTGAAGGAAAAGATATATTCGTTCATCCAACATTCAAAGCTTCCATTTTTTTTCGCTCGTCTAGATTCGCGCTTTAAAGCCGGCACGGCGTGAGTTCAATCTTATTTACATTTGTCAACGTCCCGGTAGCGTTATTCCGCTGCACTCCGGGATTTATGGAACCACTCAGCCCAGTCGATTCATTTTGCCCGCAACCGGCTCGAGCCGCGAGGAAGAAGTTCGCGGACAGGTAACGGAGTAAATTTTCACGGTCCTGGAAAGTTTATAAATCCCTCGTGCATACTGCCGTCTAGGCAAAATCCCGTAGCTTCTAGGCGAAATCCTCCCTCAACGTGATCTTGTTTTCTCGCGCGGCTTCCTCTTGTAACGTTCTCGTCCGCTTTTTCTTCTCCGTCCCGTCGCTCGTCGCTGCTGCCATTTTTCACACAAGTTCCGACGGCATACGAGATCGTAAGTGGATCTTATGCACTTTCTCATGCCACGGCTTCTCGACGAACCGCCGACAATCAAAAATGTTCCAAGGATGTCAGTGATTTATTAGTTCACTTGTCGTGCGCTCATTGTAACGCGCGTTCGCTATTCGTTCGGAATCGTTCGAAATCATTTTCAAAGCGAGCACAAAGATCACGGGAATTGAAGTAATAACTACAAGTGACTCAAGGTTACTTCTACACGCACACGTTTTACGACTTGTTTGCCGTATTTATCTCGACAGGCGTTGACTTTAAATGCGATAAATGTATGCTGGCTGTATGCATCTCCATTCTATTGCGATAGTGATCTGCGTAACAATTAAATACCTTCAAATTGCATTTTCATATTTTTAAAATAATCTACGTAATTAGTAATAATTCAAAATTATTTTAAATTAATCTCTAATGATGTATTAAATGATTAATTATATATATTTCGTGATTAATCTATATTTTTTTAATTTTCAAATGAAAAATATGTGGTTGCGATACATTAAAAAATTTTATTTTTGATTATAATTAATATATATTATATATATGTATTTTAAGATATAGAAATCAAAGCCTTAAACGGTCTAGCTGGATCTTAATGATTCTTATGTGAATTTATATACTACGTGTGTAGTCCCTAGAAACGCGCGCCGAAATAATTATTCGGTCTTGAAATGCTAACTCTATTAAACTACCGCAGTAATATCATGAAAATATTTATTTCGGCTCGTACAAGCATTAAGATCCAGCTAGACCATTTAAGGCTTTAATTTCTAGTTTGTGTTATCACATATAAGGTCCTATAATATATTATATTATACATATTTCAAGGTTATTAT